GAAGTTGTGAGTTATGTAAATAAATTTTTTTGTTTAGTTTTTATAAAATAAACTGAAAGAATGATGAAAAATCCCAAAAAAAGGAGAAAAAAGATAAATATGATTCTTGGTCTAAGAGAGGTGCCACCTCACTTTCTTATTGCCCACTTTTATATATAGAAATATAGATACGTAATTGTTTAATCATAAAATCATATTCAGCACGTATAAAGCTTAGTGCATAAAGCGGCTTTCATTCAGTTAACCCAAAAGGGCTCCTAGTTGTTAATAGAGAAATTTTCATAAATCACTATCTTTTAGTGGTAATTAGCTATCTATAGATACCATTTGCTATATTACGGATTGTAGATACGTTTTCTATTGTTATAAGATGTAATAGATGTATTTAAGCTAATGTATTCATGAATACAGTAGCAAAAATAGGCGTGAATCAGGGAAGTCCAGCTAATCAATTGTTGTATTCGAGTGTATTTATGGCGTGAAACAAGGGATTACAGCTGGACAGATTATTGTATTCGACTGTATTCACGGCGTGAAACAGGGAATTACACTGTTTTTAAACGGAAAGTGAATCAATTAACATAATAGACTCCTAATATAACTCAACAAACTCAATTATAACACACAAAATGTGTATTTCCAGTTATAAAAAAGATTCTCAACCGAAAAAAAAACCCAAAATATAGCAATCTTTAGAAAAATTATATAATACATCTGAATACATAAATTACATTAATTAAAAAATATATATATGAATACATTCATGGCATATAACGAGACAGTGAATACAATGAAATACATAGAATACATCGGGATATATTGAAATACAATGAAAAAAAGATAGTGAATACAATAAAATACATGGAATACAGCGAGATACATTGAATTACAATGAAAAAAAGACAATGAATACAATGAAATACATGAAAATACAGCGTGATACATTGAAAATACATTGAAATATATTAACAAAAAATCAAGTTACTCAGCCCCAAACTCCGTTGTCTTTGTTCAAGAACAAACCCTAATTTCCGGCGAATTCGCCGTCGAGCAAAAACCCTCAACTCTTTCAAGTTGCTCAGCCCCAAACTCCGTCGTCTTTGTTCAAGAGCACCCCTAATGTCGTCTCGTCAAGAGAGCCGCGATTCTGACTCGAAACTCTCAAAATTTGGAGCACACATGGTCTTTTGAAGATCTTTGGCCCTGCTGCTTTGTTCCCCGGTGGTGCCTCTGCGAAAGATGCCATTTTTTGAATTTGGGGCTTTTTCTGATTTTCTGAGCAAGAAGAAGGAGAAAGCTTATAGGTTTTTGGTGCGTACAAGGAAATAACAAGGAAGAAAAAGAGGAGAAGAAAGCGTCAAAAATATGAAAGAATGTGAGAGAAAAATAATACAAAGAGCATTTTATGGCTTAAGGGTAGGAGGTAACCATAAATAGATATTTGGCTATAAAAATCAAAAAGTAGCTATGGAATATAATTTTTAAAAGGGTATTAGGTAAAAATTCCTTGTTAATATTATGGCCATGCTTTTGTAGAAAAAAAAAATTATTTGCACCGTGTTACCTTTTCTCAAGGTCACTCTTTAAATTCTATCCCCATTAATCCAGTTGACTAAACCTAAAAATAATTGAAGTATAATTAACCTTTTTTTAGAAAAATTACATAGTATAGCCGTTGAAGGGGAGCCTTGGCGTAACTGGTAAAGTTGTTATCATGTGACTAGGAGGTCACGGGTTCGAGCCGTGAAAATAGCCTCTTGCAGAATGTAGGGTAAGACCGCGTAAAATAAACTCTAGTGGTCCATACCTTCCCCGGACCCGGCGCATAGCGGGAGCTTAGTGCACCGGAATGCCTTTTTTACGAGTATAGCCACTCAAAAAAATAGCCAGTAAAATATATTTTTTGTATATTGACACATATTATACATACTGTAACATATATATTTTATATATATTTATTTTTATATTTGGAAAGCGAATATACTTATTTTTGGTGGATCGATCAAATGTGTAACTTGTCCTTTTTTTTTTTAGACAGATTTAGCCATAAAGGGCCATTTCTGCAAATGCCTCCTAAAAAAGAATATCTCGAGTTAAAACGTGCCTCAAGGGGGCCAGGACAAAACCAAGCCCAACTATAAAGCCTTTTAAGAAAGCCCCAAATTCAATCAAAAATTGAAACAAAAGCAAAAAATCCAAGAATTTGCAGAGCTCTTGCTTCTTCTGTTGTCTCTCCCATGCCTCATTCTCCCATCAGTTTCCAATGAGCTAATGAGTATAGCTTTTTACCATTGAAGTAAAGTAAGCGCCTTTTTAATCCCCTTTTCTTTTCTTGCATAATTATGTACTAGAACCCCC